CCGAACCCCGGAGCCCCGCGGCCCCGCGAACCACGCGAGCCCCGCGAAGCCCGGCGAGCCCGCGAGCCCGCGAGCCCCGCGAGCCCCGCGAGCCCCGCGAGCCCCGCGAACCCCGCGAACCCCGCGAACCCCGCGAACCCCGCGAACCCCGCGAACCCCGCGAGCCTCGCGAGCCCCGCGAACCCCGCGAACCCCGCGAGCCCCGCGAACCCCGCGAACCCCACGAACCCCGCGAACCCCGCGAACCCCGCGAACCCCGCGAACCCCGCGAACCCCGCGAGCCTCGCGAGCCCCGCGAACCCCGCGAACCCCGCGAGCCCCGCGAACCCCGCGAACCCCACGAACCCCGCGAACCCCGCGAACCCCGCGAATCCCGCGAACCCCGCGAACCCTGCGAACCCCGCGAACCCCGCGAGCCCCGCGACCGCGAGCCCCGCGAGCCCCGCGAACCCCGCGAGCCCCGCGAACCCCGCAAGCCCCCGCGAACCCTGCGAACCGCGCGAACCCCGCGAACCCCGCGAACCCCGCGAACCCCGCGAGCCCCGCGAGCCCCGCGAGCCCCGCGAGCCCCGCGAACCCCGCGAACCCCGCGAGCCCCGCGAGCGCACGGAACAGTCCAAGCCACCCCCCCCCACCCCCTCCCCAGAGCCATGTTACTTTGTAATCCGGTAAAGGAGCAGGCTGGTCTGCAGCTGTTGAGCGGGTGTGCTTATCATCCCCCCCCCCCACCCCCTCCCCAGAGCCATGTTACTTTGTAATCCGGTAAAGGAGCAGGCTGGTCTGCAGCTGTTGAGCGAGGGTAAAGGAGCAGGCTGGTCTGCAGCAGTTGAGCGGGTGCGCTTATCATACCAACCACCCCCACCCCCTCCCCAGAGCCATGTTACTTTGTAATCCGGTAAAGGAGCAGGCTGGTCTGCAGCAGTTGAGCGGGTGTGCTTATCATACCATGAGGGCAACCAAACAATGTTGTACATCGTTTTTGCAGAAAAAGGTATATTAAATCAGTGTGCGCTAAAAAGCGGTGTTTGAAAAACATACGAGTATCTCTATAAAGCCGTAACGAGGTGTTGTGCAGTGTCTGTGTGTCAAAAACAGCCTGGGATTAACCCCCCCCACCCCCTCCCCAGAGCCATGTTACTTTGTAATCCGGTGAAGGAGCAGGCTGGTCTGCAGCAGTTGAGCGGGTGTGCTTATCATCCCCCCCCCCCCCACCCCCTCCCCAGAGCCATGTTACTTTGTAATCCGGGAAAGGAGCAGGCTGGTCTGCAGCTGTTGAGCGGGTGCGCTTATCATACCAACCCCCCCCCACCCCCTCCCCAGAGCCATGTTACTTCGTAATCCGGTAAAGGAGCAGGCTGGCCTCCCAGAGCCATTTTACTTTGTAATCCGGTAAAGGAGCCGGCTGGTCTGCAGCTGTTGAGCGGGGGTGCTTATCATCCCCCCCCCCCCACCCCCTCCCCAGAGCCATGTTACTTTGTAATCCGGTAAAGGAGCAGGCTGGTCTGCAGCAGTTGAGCGGGTGTGCTTGTCATACCAACCCCCCCCCCCACCCCCTCCCCAGAGCCATGTTACTTTGTAATCCGGTAAAGAAGCAGGCTGGTCTGCAGCTGTTGAGCGGGTGTGCTTATCATCCCCCCTCCCACCCCCTCCCCAGATACTTTGTAATCCGGTAAAGGAGCAGGCTGGTCTGCAGCAGTTGAGCGGGTGTGCTTATCATACCAACCCCCCCCCCCCCCTCCCCACCTCCGTCATCAATGAATGTGATCCCTAAGTGATCCGTGAATGTGATCCTCAAGTGAGCGTGTATCCCTAAGTGACCGTGATCCCTAAGTGAACCGTTTGAGCGATCCCTAAGTGACCTGTTTGCCCTCGCGCCTGCCCCAGACCAGACGTGCAGCGGGCTTTTTGATAGGGGGTCCGGATTGAGAGGTTGGCGGGATATGACTTGCCGCTTTCCTTTCCTGTCCAGCAGGGGCTCCTGGACCCTGAAACTACTAACCTTCTGCGAAGTTTGGCTAGTCAGTGCTACGTGCTTGTGTATCTAGTGAAGCAGGCCTCTGGCTGGCTGACAGCTTCGCATCCCAGCAGGTGGGTATTGTATCTGCTTTATGTTTCGCTTTCTCTCTGTGTATGCTTGAGCTGCCCTGTTCGTTGGTTGGCGATTTGCGATGTGGGACCTTCATCGTATGGAAAGGTTTATGCTTGTTGACTCTGACTTAGTATCATTTTGCAATGCTACCATAGTATCAATTTGCAATGCTACCATATATAGTTTTTCATGTGCAGTGGAAATCGCGCATGTACCCTTGTTCACCAGTTGCGTGCTCTGTTGGTCTCTTTCTCTCTCTTGATCTCTCTTTGCAAACGTCCACACACACAAACCGGGCTATGACTTTAAGTCATCATTAACATTCACACTCTTTCGTTCTGCCAATATTTGGAATGCTCTTCCTATGTTCACAGTCATTTGTGGATGTCGGGCTGCAGAAAAATGCGTGTTCCGTCCACCGGTTGGTTTTCTTTGACGGGATCCATTGACTGCATCCGCCGCCTGCGCCCTCCTCTTACATATCCAAGGCTTCTCTAAGGCACTTTCACGCGGAGACACCTGCAGTTGGTTCCCTAATGCACATGTCAGGCACACTGACTATAGGCCAGAGTGGGATGTGAGTCACGTCATAATCCTGATACTTATGCACATGTATGTGTATAGATGGCACGTGCGTATACAGATATATGTGTACACCTGTGGATGTGTTCTTGTCATTTGTCGGTGGGCATGTTCCAACAGAGTTGTCCAGCGGGTCCCGCCCTGTTACCTTTTGAGCGGGTTGCCCTGAAAGACCAACCCACAAGCAGCATGGAAAGACCACACCCACACTATTCACTATGCACATGTGTATTGTGCCTACGCAAGACGCATATTTGTGTGTTGTCATGTGGCACTGGACCCAGGAGCCAACAAAACAGCCTACGACCAAACGGATCCACTTATTTAAATCGATATGCGGAAAATACCTACCCACAATACTGCGTCTGCCCGGGTTGTCCTAGTATGTTGTAGGTGCCCCGGAACATCGGTGGGCGCCTTTTTCGTTGCCTTGCTGAGTCAAGACCCTCTGGATGCAACGGCAGAGGGGGAGAGAGAACACTCACGCAGTTATGCAGACTTATCCGTATTCGGAAAATCCCTCGGAATGGGTGGTTTGGTTCCCTTCGGCTGCCCTTTGAAGCAGCCCAAACAAGAGTACCGGCTCAAAAAAAGACGACACACCCCCATGGATGCATCTGCATTTCCAATATTCGGAGAACATATTTTGCCACACTACTCATGCAGATGTTGATGTCACCATTTTGCAGTGGCGCCTTCAGAACCTAGGTGCTGTACCTGGTGGCGCCTCAAGGGCTCTACGACGCCCAACCCCAGCGGATTGAAAGGTTCTTGGAGTACCTGCCGTCCTTGGCGCCTTGGCCTGCAGAAAGCCGAAAACCGGAAATTCAACGGGGGTTTGTCTCAGAATGGGTGTGTCAGCTTCTCCCCCTTTGGATTGGCTTTAACTGCAAACACTGCGCTTGGAAGTGGTCAACTTCCTGCAGCAGCCAGGTGTTTGGGCTAACTTCTGGGTGAATTTCCTGCAGTGGTTTCTTGGAAGCTTGGGTTTGTCTCAACATAGGCAAGCCACCAAAATGGCTCGTTTGCCTTTGGCTGCCTCGAGACTGCCCCCCACACGGTACCCTCAAAAACAGGCACATCGCTCGCTTCGGATTAAACAAGATTAAACGGGGTCACTTAGAGGATGCCTTGCTACTAGCTGAATAACAGGCCCCCCCCCAATTAAACAAATATTTCCACAGAAAAAGTTGTTTTTCTTATTTGGGGGGGGGAAGTCCCAAACAGAAATGGTTGCAGCAGAAGCTCTCTAGATTCTTCCCGTGATTTGGCCACACCTGTTCGTAGCATGTGCTCATTTTCAACCCAGCTGGGCTCTTGACATGTTGGGACGTGCAAGAGGTAGCCAGGAGTTTCACTGGGTGGCATGCCCCACGGGAAAGAGCCCCTTAAGGTTGTTCAAAAAAACAATGCCGGGTCTCATCCACAGTTGGGGTCTGTCTTTGTTTAGGGTTGAGGGGTACCTCCCTTTTTGCTCCATTTTGTGGCGGTTCAAACTTAAAGGACACCCATTTGGGCCAGAAGTGGGACATGCGAGGCAGGGCCTTTGACCGATGGCATCTTTATTGTATAGGGGCCAGGTCGTATGGTTTTGTGCGGAAATTGAATGGATTGCCCAGCTTTTTGTGAGTGGCCATCTTGAAAGCCACAAAGTAGTCAAAGGGATGGGCATGGGAATCCCACATTGGCATCACAGAAACGGTTTTCCCACAAAGAGGAAGTGAGTTGGCGGGTCAGTAGTTTAAGTTGGCTATTGCTGGCGGGAGGTGGGTCCCACAATCCTTCGGCATTGTCATGCGCAAAGGAATTCTGCTTAGCTTGCTTAACCCCCGCGAAAGAGAAGGCAGGCCTCCGAACATCAACATGACGAAACTTGACGAACCGTGAATCCCAACTCTCGCTTGCAAGAGCCGTCGGCCGCATTCTGCGAGGAATGACTGGGCGTTATGCACGCTTGGTGCGGGGAACTGCTGAGGATTGCTGAGGCCCTTCCACTCTTCCGTGATTTGTGTGAGGTTCTTTTTGAACTTGAGCCGGCTTGGGAAGTGGTTTGAATGTAACCCCAGGAAATGCACAGGACTTGGGCCTTGGGCCACAGAATCCATGTTGGATTCAAGGGTCACTTGCATGGAACCCGCCGGGGCCCCTTGACGACCCCTCCAGTGGGATGGGAGCGTCACAAAGCGAAGCCTGAGGATGTGGTGGCTATCCAGGAGTGCCTTGGCAGATGAATCCCAAAGCATTTCACTGGATGCTTTGTGACCTGGGTGCTAAGTAGCCATGTTTTTGTTGTTGAATTCTCCGAAGGAAAGCAACTTCCAGCTTCGTGAGAAAGAAGAAAGGTGCTCGAAAAGCGCAGCCAAATGCGCGGCCCTGTGCATTTGCGGATCCCGCGCCACCTGCAGAGTTTCCTACTTTTGCCTTGATGAAACTTAAGCCAGGAGATTTCGCCAGGACGGGGTCCCTTGGTGCAAAGCTGTTTTTGAGTAAGCCCTCAGATTAAAGGGTTTTGCGAACGGGATTTCCAGAGAAGTCCACTTGTCATGTGGGACTATTACTGGTAGGTTTTCTAGAGTGCAATCCCAGGGTGGAAAGAGGAAAGACCCTTCCACCATGGGGTGCTTGACACCGGTCCCTGCTTCATGTCAACTCATTGTAAGCTCACCTTCAAGTGAAACGAGCTCGGGCCCGTGATGAAGGCCCTTGAACATTTCTCAGGTCGGTGAATTCTGGTAACGTTCATCACAACCGCCCCCTAGCAAGCTTCGGGGGAGAATGAGCTCATTCATAAGCCCTGACTGGGGGATTAAGAGTCACCAATAGGTAAGTGGCCTTATGCACCTGCGCATTGCTGCCGAAGCGGCCTGACCTGGTCGAAATCACTGGCAATATTTTACCATGTCGGATCGTATGCGATTACCCCCTCAATAAATAGTGTGACAAGCCCCCTTTTCAAGAGAACTGGTTTCGTCCTACAAAGGCCTGTGCAACCTTGATGCTCATTGGTCGCCCTGCGGCTCCTGGTGCCACAAGGAGTGACCAGCAACGTTCCCTGCTTTTAATTAAATGGATGTGTCTTTCTTTGGCAGGTACCTTTTTTCTTTTTCTTTTTTTCCGGAAAACCTCCATGTTGTGGTGTCCCTCAACAGTCACACCCAACTGGCGGTTGCCCTTTGCCCGCTGTGCCGAGGTTGACGGTCTCTTGGGGCTGCGATGCCCACGTGCAGCGAATCCGCCGCTTCGCCCACACCGTGGGCCTTAAGCACTTCGCCTCCAGTGGCCGATGGCAGCTCGCCCTCAGAAACTCAGAAACACGGGTGAACTCATGAAGGCACATGTAGCATCTCTCTGTCTCCCTCTATGTGGGTTTGTGTTTGTGTTTCTTCTGTGTGTCTGTGTGCCTGAGTGTGTGTGTTGTCTAAGTACACGTATATATACATTACAGATCATGTTGTTATTTGCTTATGCGTATGATTATATGCATATGAGAATGTATGTGAATGTGTATTTACATACGAATTATATATCTACATTACATGCACACCCATTTGACAACTTTACGGGGGTGTGCTTGTTCTGCAGGGGGCAACTTCCATTCGGGTGCAAGTGGCTCCTTCCTGTTGGGATTGGCTGTTGTCGCGTTCGCTGACGCACTCAGCTCAGCCCTTCTACCTTGCTGCCGTCTCGATCTGTTTAGTTTTGCGCGGGTGATTCTCAAAATGAGGAATCGAGCTGGTCTCCTTTTGGTTCCCCTTCGAATGAATCCCAACAAGGGCTGGCTATTTTGAGAAACACCCATTTGCAGTTGAGTGAAAATCCATTGCGCACTTCCCCCATTTGGGTTGAGTCATCTCCTTTGCTTTTCACGTGCTCCCAGTTTCAAGTTTGCTCCCCACCCCAAATGATCCCGTCCCGCCGGCCCAGGCCCCCAAGCACCCCTACATCGCTGGGGCCTGGGGCTACTCCGAGCCTACACCCTTCGTCCAACCTGAACCCACTCTACACTGGCCAACCCTCAACCAGGCCTTTGCCAACCCTTGAAATCTGCTACCAACCCTTCCCTAGCCCTTGGCCAACCCTTAACCAAGCCTTCAACCTTTAACCAACCCCGCAACGACTCCACAGGGGGTGTACCACGACCATGGCTGGGGGGAGGGGGGTGGCACCCTTTCGCCCTTTGTCTAGTTCTTCAGCTTCGCGAGGCCCGACTGGCCGGCGTTTTACTGCGCGGCTGGCCTGGTGGTGCTGTCCAAGTATCCCATTCGCAGGACCCGCTCACTCATCCAATCGCCCGACCACTGGTACTGTGCACTTAGGCGACTGGCGAAGCATTGGCCACAAACCTGGCCCCCCGTGAAGCACCAGATGCAATGCCTCAACGGGACAAACAGTTCAAATCAAAAAGTAAGCTTGAGGCGTGCACTGTTTCATGCAAGCCTGTGACAGCCCTCCCTCCAAGCCCCCCGCAGCCATCCAAGCGGCTTGTCTTCCAATGATTTATGTGGTTCACATGTCTTATGCTGGTGTGATGTCTCCGCAAAGTCCGGGCAAACTGAATCCTGTAAATGCCCCATTTGCAAACCCCCGCTAAGTCAACAGAGTGAAACAACACAGCCGGGAGTTGCTCTCCAAAGTGAAGGAGGCCCTCTTCAATTGGAGCCTCCCCCTCCAATATTTAGCAAGCATTCCCATGACAAACCAGTACCTGAACCTGGCGGCAAACAGGTTGTCTTTATTCCCCGAGGTCAGCAGGCAAACCCGGTTTACCCTGGAATTCAAGTGCTTAGCTGGCCATTCGGAACTTGCTGCACCATAGCCGGATGAACCGAGAATGTGACTGGCGATGGTCCATTCCGAAAAGACAAGGTGTCCTAAACATGGCTGTGGCTCAAAAGCCCGGTACCAAAATGGAACCCTGGTAAGTGGAAACATGGACCAAATCCTGCGTAACCCCTCCTGGTTTCTTTTGAGCCACAGCCACATGGAGGTCCATCCTTTCACAACATGTTCCAACCAGGGAATTGGCCAGTCACTCAAATCCCAACTTGCGACAGCAAGTCTGGGTTTGGCATCGAGCATGCCTGCCCCTCTGATGATACTAGAAAATTTGCAAATCCTAGGAAAGGATTGGACATGTGGAACATTGAGCAAGAAGTTGCGTTGCCCAATAAACTGATCAACTTCTGTGGGAAAATCGAGGTTGGGCAACATATAGATTCAACCAACTGGGCCCGACCAATTTTCAAAAGAGAACCCTAAAAGCCAGCCACGACTCTTCACAGGAAGCGTGGTTTAAAGCGGGTTGGAGGGTTTTCCACTTTGCGATGCCAGGAAGCCTTCCTTCCAAGTGCAGAATCTGTCGTGGGGAAAGGTATTGTTTCGATTTTATTCTCTGTACTCTGTCCTTGTGTGTGTGTGTTTTTAATGAGTAGATGAAGGGGAGCCTAATGTTCAAGCCATAAAATTTGAGCGCGGTGGCCAGATCCCCGGCAAGCAGGTTTGGGTCAACCCCCTGTTGAAACACATCGCTGAAACCTCCGCCAAGGTTGCGCCGCGGGTTAGGTTGCTTAACCACATTCCGCCCAACCCTGGCAAGGAAAGCAACAAATGAGCATGCAACTGCAAGAAGTCTAACGGATGTTCAAGCAACAGGTGGAATTTGAAGGAGGATGCCAAGGCAGAAAGATTGGAAGCGCATGGCTTGCAGATCCTTTTGGCCAGGAGCCTCTACTTCTCCTTTTCCAGGCAGGCCTGGTTTGAGTGGAGCGCCATCCAGCGGGGCGCCCTCATGGTGGAGTTGGACACCCCGCAGGGCAAGGTGGCCCTGCTGAATGTGCACACCACCGCAGGCCTTGGCTGTCTTCCAGTCGCGGGTGGGGGCGACTACTTTTCCTGCAGGCTGATGCGCAAGCAACAGCTTCGAACAACATGAACCTCCTTTTGGGCCTCTTTTTTGGTTCCTTGTTGACTTGCAGGGGTTTTGAAGAACCGGGGGGGGGCGGAACGAGAATTCCTGTAAGCTATGTTACCTGGGCAACTGGTGACGTTTTCACCTGGGGTACAACGAACACGGGCCCTGTGAAGGTCAGTTGGGGGTTCATTGCGTCAGGACTGTGAGTTATAGTTTGGCCAGCTGGTACGGGGGCGATTTGGGGGAGAACCCTCACGAAGTTCCCTGTGATTCTCTTGCTGTTTTTGATTATCTTTTTAAGCCTCACTTCTTGGTCGCCAATTTTAGGTGCGTTTTGGGTAGGCTTGCTATGTAAAGATGGTTTAGTCAATGAACTGGTGGCTCATACCCAGAAATCGTCTGGGCTTATACTTTCAGCCTTTGAGTCTGGCCAATTTTAAGGCCGATGGTTGCAGTCCAGTCCGGCCAATCACGGGCTGACGCCCTTGCCGGCAACAGCCAGAATGACAGTTGTCTGAGAGGGAGGGTCTCCCCCAAACCACTACCCCAAGAACACATGGGGGCACTATATGGATACTATATCAGGGGAATGCACTATACACTTCAGCTTCCTGGGGAAGAGAAATTTGTTTGACCTCGGATTGTGCATGAGGGGTGGCACAGCACATGAGCCGCAGCAACGCTTGGCAGTTGTGTAGGTACTAAGGTGCGAAGTTGCATGGGGCAACTGGCTTCCTCGGTTCACAGACGTCATACTTGAGCAGGTGCTTTTTGGGTGGTCCGGGATAGTCTGCGCTTTGGAGATCTTAGGGGGGTAAGAGAGGGGAGTCTGAAACTTTGGAGCGGTTGGCAGGCAATAGTAAGACCTCCGCTTTTTAGGGGGTTAATTGCACTCTCAGCTGGCGAAAAACCGTAAGGTGGTCTGAACACTGGCATGGGGGCTGCAGCGTAGGGGTGTATCCCAAAGCAGCGGCTTTCCGTTTAAATGTCCCGTGTTAAAAGGTGTTTCCTCATTTTGGGGCGCATCAACGTACCTTTTCTCTCTTTTTTTTAAAAAGATTGAGTAGAGTTCAATCCGGATCGTGATGTTTACACTGCTTCATTGGAAGTATGTTGGGCACCTCCAATGCTTCGGCTTTCTTTTTGGAGCTATGCCAAGGCAGAAGGGCCCGTGCGTCCCGTTTGGGAGGGGGGCCACGCTCGCATGGGCTTGTCTTAGAGTGGGATCCCCCACGATGTTTGGTTTCCCTTGGTGTTCGTTTAGAAACTCTTTTGCCCGAAGCTCCCCAAGAATAATGTCTTCCAGGCGGTCCCCGCCAAGAATGACACTCGCATCTTGCAGGCCTTTTGCGGGGAAGTGGATTTCACATGTTTCTGTTTTCCATGGATTCCTGCAAACCGCCCCTCCCCTGGAAACGTCCCTGGAGGCCTGGAGGTGCTGGAGACGGGCGTGGGCCGCAAGAGTTTGGCGGGCAAAGTGAACCCCGTGGGCCTCGATCAGCTGCTGGAGGCGAATGGCCCAAGGGGCCTCTGAGGGGTTCCGTTCGCGCGGGTGTTGCTTTTGGAAACTCGGTGCTTTTGGGACCTAGGGGGATTTGCCCGAACCATATTGTGGATGGACAGAAGCTACCAGCTGGAATTGGCGAAACCCACAGTAGGTGTCCTTTTTTAGGTCAGTTTGGTATATAGTTTTTTTCGGGAAGCTGAGTTGCCCAAACCCGCATTCGCGTACATGTTACACAAGCGTTGGGCGGCCTTGACCATCTCTGTGGCGTTTTGAATGTCTCTCGCGGTGGGCCGGATTTCTCGCAGGTATCCTTTGAATCGGTCAGTTCGGTAAAGCATGGACGGCACTTGCTTCAGTTTGGTTGTGATGAAGCCTTTTGAGGACACCTAGGACCCAAACCTTGTCCCTCATTAGGGGCATGTTTTTGGGGGTGAAAAGGGCCAGATGTATAGCTGCCTTTTGGTCTTCTAATGTGATCCAAAGACTTAGTCAAAGCTCAAGAAGGCTAATCTTGTATATAGGTTGTCTGGGTAAGTCAGATAAGTTAGGGAAATGAACGTCCACAAAACGGAAGGGGAAGGTTTGGTGGGTGTTGGGTAGTTTTCCTGAATTCAAGGGGTTGGTCCTTTGATTGTTTTTGTTTGTTTGAAAGACGGATCGCTAGAATTATTGGAAGTTCGCCCTGTGGGTGCAGCCTCGTGGATGGGCAGAGCAGTGCCATTTTGCTGCAGGGTAGCATTCACAGTTTTGCAGTTCTGTGCACCCGCGAGCAAATGGGCCAAGTGGAGGCTTCCAAGCACCAGCCAGAAACTTGCCTTTTTTCACCACAAGCCCACGAGACGACCAAACTTGTGGTTTGTCCAAGCACCTGTCAGCGGTGGCAGGCAGTTGCAACCAGCAGTCAGGCTCAGTCAGAGTTCCTGGTTTACTTGTTTTGGTTTGAGGTAATTCCTCGACGTCAAGTAGCGAGGGGTTCTCTCTTCTTTCCGTGGTCGGGCATGGAAGTTGAGCCGAATCGTTTCTTCATACGCCCTTTCCGGTTGCTGCGTTATTTGTTTCTTTGGCACGCAGGGTGGAACCTGCAGGCATGTTGGGCGGTATACTTGCTGCATATGAGGCATATTTGCAGCCCTGGGGGCACACCCAGGGGCACAAAACAATAGTGGATGCGTCCCACCAATTGAAACGCAGAATCACAGTTCTGTCATTGGTACGTTAACTGTAACTATTTGCGTTTTGGTTCTTTTACTGTTGCTTGCTGGCTCTGTTCATTGATGGGTGGGGGCTGCAAACAGGGTGCTTCCTGCTACGAACTGCCATACGCCACCCGTGGGCATACGGCTGCCGCCCGCCGGCTCGCCGCTCGCCGGCTCGAGGCCTTGTCCCGGTTCACGGACTTTTCGCGAGGCGCAGACCAGCGAAGCTGGGCTTGGGCCATGCTTCGGGCAGCCACCAGGGAGACCTTTGTGGGCGAAATCTCCGGGTGAATATGGGCTTCAACTTTGCGGAGATTTGCGACCGATGTCGGGCTTCATGGAGGTTCTTTTCTTGGCGAATGTCTCTTTATGAGAATTAATGTGATACATGTTGTTTGCGAAAGCGTAGCGTGTTGTAACCGATGCCGGTCATGCAGCATTGTTGGCGGCATTTCCATTGACGGAGAGCGTTCCAAAGAGGCCCGCAGCCAGCCCTGCTGGGGACACAGGCTGTGCCTGGCCAAATTGAAGGATTAATTGTTAGCACAGGGTCAAGAGAACCAAGTTGAGTCATCACCATTTGGGTGGTTCAAATTTTGGTGCTACTGGTCACTCTCCGCCCACGGACCGAACCAGAGCAGCATGTAAGACTTGAATTTGAATGATGTGCTGCCAGCAATAGAGACAGCCAGGCAACCATGCGAAAGCTCACTCCCACGAGCATTCGCTTGTGCATAAGCCCCGCGAATGGGACTGGTGTTTCTGAGGTTCATGTCATTCTTTTCAGTGCCGGGACCCGTCCTATCCACCAGAGGCCTTCTTGAATCAGAGACCCTACAAGCCATGGCCCCACAGACCCCTGCAACGACTAGGCCCTTTTGGTCATCCAATCTTAGGTTTGGTGAGTCGGCTGGGTCCTTAACCGAATGTCCGTTGAGCTTGGCTCCAAGGAATCTTCTGCGGTGACTTCAACCTCAGCAAGGCACATGCGGGATGCATGGGGCCGGACGTGGCGCAAAGGCTGCACGCCTTCTGACACCCCACCCCCTAAGAAGAGGGGCAGGGCATGGGCGGGGCACCCATCCACCGAATGTTCAACTCGTTTTCCTGTGTCCAAGCCTACCAGGCTATTTCCAGTCCGTGTTGCTGCCCCTTCAAAATGGCAAATGCGCGAAGCTCCACAGAGCGGACAATGATCTAGGGGTTTCATGCCAGCGAATTCGCAATTGGAGGTATGTGTTTTAACGGGAACACTGGTAAGGCCTCGCTCTTTGCGAGGATTTGTGCCCAGCCTGCTGGCAGGCAAAGCCTTGGTTCTGGCACGTGTCAAGTTCCACAAAGGCTGTCTTCCGGGGCCTATGTTGAGGGAGTAACAAGGAGACCACAGAGATCACGCTGGATCTCGAGAATGTGCAAGCCCCTGGTCAGTTCTGACTCTTGAGAGCACTTGGCCGGAACAAGGCGCGGCATTTGACATTGGATGAAAGTTGGCGCCATAATTCCAACATTTGGTGAGAAGCGATGTCGCGTAAACTTGGCCCGTGGCCTGCTGTTCTTCAAAGATAGGCTTTCAGCATCGAGTTCGGAATTATTCAATGCCAGGCTCCCCTCTCATGATTACCCCAAGGTATACTTAAATTAAACCTGGTTTATTCATTGATTGCTCCCAGCTGGAAAGCCCTGGGCTTCACCGGGCCTGCCAATCACAAAATACTGCACAAACCCAGGGAATTGAGATGTTATGCTAGGGTTCTAAGCGTTGCCTTATCTTGACCAGCTCTTGCGGTTTCAATGCGCGTGCGGAACAAGGGTTTCTCTGTGTGCTTCCATGCCGCAGAATATTGAGCGTCACACTGTGTACAAGTAGTTCGGCCTTGGTAAGGCCCGAGTAAGGCTTGTTTGGGGAGTAATCCTTTACTAAGGCCTTTTTATAAGTGAGCCTTAACGGATTCGAAGCACATGAGTGAGGTTGCATGACTGCACTAAGTCTGCGATTTTAAGGGGCAAACCGTAGTAGTTCTTGTGCACGGCTGGCCTCGTGCCCTTTCGGTATTGCATGCGTGTTCATTGTAGTTGTTTTTGTTTAGGTATTTCAAATGTGTTTCCCTTGGGACTTTTTTGGGGTTTGAACAAGTCTTGACACCCTCGCCCAATGATCGTTGGATTGGCCAGGTGGCCTTCTCACTCATGCCGCATGCCTTTTCTGGGCTGGGCCATAGGCAGCGGAAAGGGGGGGACGCCAGGACTCGCCAGCCTTCAAGCGGTTCCAAGAAGAAGCGCGCCCTGGCTCAATTGATGACTGGCCATTTGTCTACAGGCAGAGGCGCCCTGGTTTAGTGGCTTTCCCCTCAAACATCGCCAAGGACTTGTTTCATGTGGTTGTTTTAAGGCCAGGATCAGGCAAGCAAAGGGAGTACGTGCATTGTTGGAGTCAGGGCAGCCTTGGGAAAAGGTCTCACAATAATTAACCTTCGCGCACAGCCTCTTAGAAGGGGTCAAGCCCTTCTAAACAGCTGGCTTTGCCTTCTCAGAAGCTCCTCCATTCATTTCGCAGAAAGGCTTTTGGCTTTGCCCAAGTCTCCTGCCGGCTCACGGAAATCCTTTCTTGGATATCCCTTCCTCTTGGGTGTGGGCCCATTCCCTTTCAAGGATTCCCACTTTTGCTTGCCCCGCCTTCGGCGTTTTGCATGGGGCCCTTCCTCAGGCGAGCGCTGCATCTGGTGGATGTGTTCCCCAACTCGCCCCCCACCTTTGGAGCGGCAGCTCGGGAGATGATCGGTGGAGCTCGTTGGGGGGAGGTCAGTCCAAGGCTCGCTGGTGCTATCTTCCTGCCCCCTTGTTAGCGACAGAGAACTGTTTCAGAGCTGGGTGTGTGATGTTTGGCGCTTGCGTAAACAAAAGTGCTTGCCAACGTCATAGGCTGCTCCCTTTGCCGAGGTCCTCCACGAAGCGTGGATCAATTTTCGGAACAAATTGAAACCGGCTCAGCTTGGGGCAAGCAAGCCCTTTGATCAAGCTCTGAGGATTCCTGGCTTTTGATTTGTGGATTGGAATGGCTAGCGTAATTTGCCCAGATGGGGTTGTGTTTTTTTTTGAGGGTACCCTTCTCGGGGTGGACAACAACAGGGAACCCATATTTGTTTGGGCGGGGCTCCCTATTTGGGCACATACCCAGATGCTTCGAAGGGTACTTTCGCCTTTGCACTTGCATGGTGGCCACAGCCGCCTGTTGACAGGTACATCTGCGTGCCGATTTTTTACAGGGTTTCTTAAAGGATACATTTTAGCCAAATGAACAACCACCTTTGCCACTGAAATGGCTTCCATCCCAGAAATGAGTTTACGCCTGTGTGGGACAGTGGGATGTGAAGCTAAGGTGGACGATGATGGGAAGCCGCTGGAGACATTGGTCACCAAGAAAACAACCCAGGGCAACCCGCGCGTGATCGATCACGTGTTTTCGGACTCTTGGATTCGTTAGTTAGTGTACCACCCTCTTAGTGGGTTCTACCCTTTTCTGCTCTTTGCCCCACCGAAAATTCGATTTGCATGGACAAATGGTTCCCTTGCCTTGAAGCATCGAAGGGGTGCACCCAAAGTGTAGAACGCCTCTTCACCCCTCGCTAAGACCATGGCTACTTTTTGGAAAACGGGATTTTCCAGTAAGCCTTCAAACACTGAGGCCTTTTGCTCAGGGGGCTTGGGGCAACCCAAAAACGGGGAGGAGGGTGAGGGAAGTACCGATACATACCGCGGCCCGAGGACAAAGCGTGCACACACGCAGCTGTTGACCACATGTTGGCGTCACCTGAAGCTGGCCGTCTTCATGGCTTCCAGCACCTTGCAGTGGGCAACACGGTCCTGGTTCGGAAATAGCAGAGGTATAAGGTGAATTGGGTTTTCCTGTTGCTTTCGAGGGGAAACGGTCTTGAGAATCTGTTCAAGTTGTTGTTTGCATGTCCAGCGGATGGACGTGGCTACAAGGGTCCGGGGGGGGCGTGCTGCAGTTCATGGAGCGGTCTGAGGGTTCCGCATATGTTCGCTGGCAAGAGAGGGCGATTGCATTTCATGGGATACCACCCTTGCAAGGAACGACCCCCTCTCAGAATCAGGGAGCCATGATTCAGGGTCAGCAGCGCCAGTTGGCAACCTAGCTTGCCTGTTCGGGCAGAAATCCAAGAGCGCATGGAAGGCTCAGTCAGGTTGCCTTTTGGCCTGTTTCCCGTTGTCCTTGCGGCCAAGTTGATTTTGATTGCCATAAGGTCTTGGATAACTAATTAGAATGGGGGTGTGGCATGCTTGAATTCTTAAACCGCCTCTAATCATGATTTTGGGAGCAATGTATCACCAGTTTTTTCCATTTACCTGTAGAGCAGGTAACCACGGAAACCACCCTTAAACCTAATGAACCTGGCCGGTCGCCCACTATGGCTTGCCTGGGCTCCACTTGGAATTATTTTGATCCTTATGTTATTCCAAGTCAGGGTGCCAGAAGGTGAAGCGCTTCATGTCTGGTCTTTCGGGCAAGCGACCGGTGGGGAGCGCAATGGAATCCGCGAAAACTGCGACGAGCTCACAGTGTGAAACCAGCTGACCCATGAGGAAGCTGTGGAAACACGGGGTTCTCGCGAGCTTGTGAATTGTAGTAGGTTGGCGAGACTATAAGTTTGCCCCAGGCAACCGCAATTCCCGGTTTCCAAACTATTCCTTGGCCCTACCGAACACCAGGCAGAATGCTGAAACACTCCCTGGCAAAGTCGCTTGAGACCTGTAAGGAAGCGAAGTGAGCCCTTGTCAATGGCTTCTCGGACGGTACCCGAGATGTACATGAGCATTATGTTCTGCCTAGTGTGCCACACACAACCAGGATTCGGTCCAGCTCCTGGCACATTTAACTTCTTTGTTTGGACAGGGTTCCTTATACTTTAGAATGCGCCCTTTGGGCAAAATGTGTTTGCCTTTGATGAGGTGATGTGCAAAGAGACACATGCAAGGAACCCTGTGGGCTATGAATTTCTATATTTCCTGAGTTGGGAGCTCCTTCATTTGTCGAGTCAAGCATGACTCTCTTTACATTGTTGATTTATCTTGAAAAGAAGCTTATTTAACCTCCTGCAGGCATTCCAATTGACAGGGCTGATGCAGACATGTTGTGCACAAAGTTCAAGGTTCAAACCCAAACCGAGCAGGTGACGCCCCAAACCCCCCCCTCCCCTCCCCTGTGGGCCGCAAGCCGGGCCAGCCACGAATCGGGACCTGGCGAATCGGGTGAGGGCGGTGTCGGACCACAGCGCGCTGGAAGTGACCTTCTGAGCCGTCAGAATGCTGAATGTGCCACGAGATGCTGAATCCAACCATGGAAAACCTGGAAAAACGGGAAAACAAATGCAAAACGGGAAAACCAACGTCTCCGAACTTAGACCAAATTTCTAAGGTTCCAATAGATTCATTCTATTTAAACAAAAAACACATTTGGGGGTCCGACTTGGAGAAAAGTGACAAACATGGACAAACATGGAGATGCTTCGGTATCGCAGGCAGGGTTGTTTCTGTTGAATCCAACTGCGGATTCCACTTGCACTCCACAAGGACACTCTTGATTCGCCCCTTTTTCTGCCGAATCCACTGGATTTGGCATCCCAAAGAAAGCCTGGAGTTGTGAAGCGCGAAGGGTTGCTCACCCAAGTTGCTTGAACTTGGCAATTCGTTGCTTCGACCCCCCACCTTTCTGTTTTCTGGGCTCATCTGCCCAAAGAGGTTGGAAAAACCTTAGTGCGAGATTTGTATGATGGCCTTTGCTGGAGTATCAACTACATCTTAGGAAACCATATTCAAAAACATATGTTTGGTTGGGGGAAAAAGTTGAGGTAGCACCCCTTCGGCGAGTTTGTTCCTCGCTAACCGCGTGGGGGAGCACCCCTGCCAATGGCCTCCTCCATGCTAAGATCAATTGGTTCCATACTGGTGCCCCAAGTTTTCTGGGTGCGAACTTGAAACTATTTCGTGGCTTCCCAACAGCAAACCAACAGGTGAAGATTTGTTCGTGGCTTTCCCAGCCAGCCAAAAGGGGATGCAGTTGTTACGTTGATTTTCCGTATATCTGACACCCAGTTACATTGGGAGCCCACCTGGAGGTCAAACTAGCTCGGGCCACTTTGTACCCAAGGAGATGGGGGGGGGAGTTGTTTATTTTACCAGGCCCCCTACCCCCCAAACAAAAGTCCACAAGCAAGCACACAAATCAGCACCCGGAGACTTGATGGGCGGCGTTTTGAGACTGGTTTTACCACTCTCGCAGATCTCAGGGGGAGATGGCGAGGAAAAAGCGATTGCTCGCTAGCCGCTGTAGGTGGTTATTTTGTTTTATTTGAGCGCAATCTGTCAGCAGGGGGGCTAGGGGGTTGTCTCCAAATGGGGCAACGGACCCCAACAATGGAAGGGCCCTCGGTGATTAAACTGTTCTGTATCCAAATGGTGGCTTCAAAGTCCAACCTGGACTATCCCTTGGCTGCAGGCCAGCCGGAATGAGCAGGGTATGTATCACAAGAAGAGGGCCACAATCCCTGAAAAAACATCTAGAACAAAGTTGTTCTTTTCCTTCCTGTTTTGCTAGGAAACGGGTGCCATCAAAAAAGCGCAAGCCCGGCGCAAGCAAAGCACGGTTTGAGTTTCAGCAGGTCATGGCACCCCTGCAGGCTGCGCGACCAGCTCTTCAACCTCCGGCGCGGGCCCAACAAGGCCCCGGCGTTCAACAGCCGTGCGGACCGCGGGGACGGACACTTTTTGAGGCCCTTTTGGAGACACCATGTTTTGTTTTGGGGGACTTAAAGCTGTTGTTGGCACGATTGCACTTATGACATTGTGTTGTTTTGTCGGAACCTTCTTGATGCCCTTCAACCTGTTTGACACCTTTTATGGAAATTCAAGCGACCTCTCCATTTTTCTGAGATTGGAGTGGAGGAGTAATCCTTGTGTCCGCGTGTAGTTCTTGGATGTGAACCTCGTTTATCGGAGCCAGCCCTGGGAGACAAAAGACAGGTTGTGGCATGGCTGTTGCCGGAAATCGTGGCCCCCTTTTGGGATTGTGCTCGTGTTTAAACGGGGCGCCACCGTGCCGGTCTGACAGATGTTGCTCGGTTGCCCTGGCCGAGGCTTTACTTTTTTCCCAAGAGGGGCGGTCAAGTTTGTGGCCTGGCAAGGGGGTCAGAAAACGCCAAACTGAAATCTCCCTTCCAAGCAAGGGATTTTGATAGCAGATATCTAGATTTGGTTTTTGGCAGTGGTGTAGAACCTAGAAGTAGCGCAGTGAACATTTAGAACCCAATACGACTGGAGTGGAGGTCGGCTGGAAAATCGGAGGTTTGGTTTTGCTCTAGAGCTGGCAGAGTTCTAATTTGCTATTGGATACCTAGGAATTTGGAAAGAAGCAATGTTTTCTTAGAGGGGATTGTTTTGTGGAAGTAGGGGGGGGAGGATTGTGTAGAATATGCATACTACGCCTGGGCCGTTCCTGGCACAGAGGCAGATGTCAGCCTTTGGAAATATTGATCCGGGTAGGTTACCGGTTTGTAGGGAATCAATTTATTCCACGGGAGGTTCCTCAGATTGGCATAGGTAGAATTACAGAGCTGCTTTGCCCACATGTGTGTGATTTTTGTTTTTTTTGTCCGAAAACAGGCATCAACTTGCAAACCGATATCCACCCTGCAGATTAATTAACATGGTACCAAAACATCCATCCTGGAAGTTTTGAAGAAACTCATTGTTTGTGCTCCTTTCGTTCGTTTGCAGAGTAGGCTTCAATATGGGTATGTCTTTAATTTGCAACATGGACTCCCAAACAAGCAGTTCCTGGTTTCCACTTGGTCTCCCTTCAAAAAATAACCCCCCAACAGGGCAAGACACACTAAGCTCACTAAGCAAAGTGGTTCTTTGAAGTCACTTGCCCAAGGCGAATCGACCCTTTGACTTGTTAGTTTCCCGTGGTCCATGTGTGGTCCCGATAGGTGATCACCTCGAAAACTTCTAGGTAAGGCTCAGTGAACCCCGCCCCCCCCAAGCAGATGGCACTCCTTGAACTGGCTTCAGGTGCTCCTCACCAAACTCTGGGAGTCGCCTGGCGCTCAGGTTTTAGATGGTTTGTTGTGCTGCCCGCACGTGTTTGGGGCACTTACTTCCCCAGCAGTTTCTGCACTTTTCTTGGGAAGGCGACTTGGAACTTAGTGCTACACGTCCGCACTTTTGCAGAACCCGCTGAGGAGCTGAGGGTTTAATTATGTGTTGCGGGCTAGCTTGTGGCGCAGGTTTTCATCGGAATGTGTCCACAAGCGTCCACTATTTGGGGAGGCTCACTTGTCGGAAGCTGGTTTCCCTATTTGTGCGCATTTGGAGCAGTCCTGAATTTAGCAACTGTGGATGGACAACGTTATTGGGATGGATGGAAACCCTGTTGTCCCTGGGGAACAACACCCAGCAACTGGTGCACGAATGTGCACGATTTTGTCCATCCACATCGTCAAGGTTCCAAAAGTTGGACCGCTTCTTTTCGCGTTCTTTGGTTGCACATCTGCACCAGGTAGTAGGAGGGCGCAAATTCTTACAATAGAACGGGGCTGTGGGATAGTTTGAAGCCAAACTACGTTTTGATCGTAACGATTTGTTTTTGCTTTTTTAGAGTACCCTTTTTGAGAAAATCTTAAAGGAGACCAACAGAAAGCTCGCTATTTTGAGGGTCCCCATTTTGTGACACACACGTACACACACACACCCATATAGGCCCCTGCATGTCACTCCCTGCAGAGGCTGGGGCGGGAGCTTCTCCTGCGGCTTCGAAGCGAGAAGACGGAGCTGGATGGGCCACAGGCCTTCTAGTCTATCTCTCCGATAGTCTTGGCTGCGCTCTGGTTTAATGCGAACTTTGGATTGACCAGGGCCATGTTAACCATGGGTGGTCCCCATTCAATGTAGGATCTCCTTATGATGAGTTTGGTCCTCCTGAAGAAAGTTTAGTTGGCAGACATTTAGCTAACACTGGGCTTTAAACTTGCTTGAAAGTGTTTTTCCCCCAACAACTAGCAAAAACTAAGCTATTCGCAGAGGGTCATGTGGGCCGATGTCGGGATGATTTGCGGTTGAGTGATGCTGGGAAGATCCTGGTTGGTTTGGTTTGGTGTGGTTTGTTGCGGTTCGCTAGTTGGTTGGTTGCTTAGCTGGAGGTTGATTGTGGTAATCCTTGGGAAGCCTTAGAAGCCCTGCGGTTGAGTCTCCACACCCCCTTGTCCAACGTGCACATTGAGTTCCAAGTGCCAAAGCCTATGGAAAGCACAGCCCGCACCAGAGGGAGGAGAAGGAGGGAGGGAGGGAGAGCCAGTTGGATAATACACGTTTTTTTTTGATATGCATACACATATGCATAGCTATGTTAATCCACATGTTACCTCTTTATTGCCATTCGCTTTTAGTTGTCTACTGTTTTCTCGTGTGCCGAACTCATTTGTCGCTTTGCCAGGTGTTTGTGTATTTGTTGGGCGGTGGAGTTTGGTGCGTGTATTGTTCAACGCTTTTGCTTTGCATCTCTCCGTCTGTGCGCAGGTGGCTCATCCCTTCGTTTGTTTGGCATATGGTTACCTCTCTTTGCTTATAAATGTGGTGTCAGTTGCTTCGTGGTTTGCTGCTTACCTATACGTCTTGGTGGCTCTCTGTCATGCGCTGTGCCCAATCAGCTATGGCAATCTGTTGTTGGTTGTTTGGTTCTTGATGTTTGGCTTTCTCTCCATGTCGGTCCTTCTTTTTGTCGGGTCCTGTGGGTCAGCGCCTGCCTGCATGTCTTGCTGTATTAAGTTGCTTTACTATGTCCATGTTTGTCTTGTTGTACTTTGTGTTTACTCGCTTCTCTAGGTATTGTTTGTTGCGGTTTGCCTTCATCTATTCTGCGTTGCCCTGTTCACACCTGTGCTGGGGCTCGAAGTCTTCTGTCCGGCGCCAGGATGCCAACTACTGGGACCAGCGAGTCACTCAGAAACCGGGGAGGATCGCTGTGCAACCCGGGCTCGAAGGATCTAACCTAACTGCAAACATGCCACTCAGACGCCCAGGCTTGTCCATTTCGGCAGGTCACTTTCAAAGTCAACCAACAAAAACACGCGGCCCTTTTTGCCATGGCCACCGAAAAGGGAGCAAGTAGCAATCATGGAAGCTGACAGGTACCAGTGAACGTCTTTCCTTTTTTCGGGACACGCCTGGCCGCCTGGTACCTGGAAGGGCTTGAGGGATACTTGTCCCCTTGGCCCGCCTCCCTTGGCCTGTGTGGTTGAAACTTACACATGGACCATAGACAAATCTGGATGGACCAAAGTAAATTCAACAACCATCGAAGCGGGCAGAGGATCTAAAGAGAATCTGTTGTCTTTCAACACGCTGTCAGCTTCCATGATTGTATTCCATGATTGTATTCCATGATTGTAAGGTTCCTGCTCATGGCATGAACGCCGCTGCACGCACATGTCACTGAACATGTTCTTTCTGTAGCCTCCATGGTTTGCTTCATTGAGACGACCATTTTGGCGGGCTGTTCCTTCAGGAGACTGTAAATGTGCAACAAATCAACTGCGTCCATGACTTGGTTTTGGCAATGAACCTTCTTGGCACCGCTGATTCATCCAAAATATGCGTTGCCAGACACTGGGTTTTCCCAGCAGGCTTCCAGCCAATACTACGATCAAGGCACAGGTTTTTATCCAAAATACCCCTCTGAAGAAATGTTTGGCACCTCCCAGGCCCCCCTCTGATTAAAGATGCCCAGAGGCTTTTTCGGAGAAGAATCCAGAAGCAGCAGCAATAGCAGCCGCAGCCTTTTCCGATCGGCTCAGCCTCTCAATAGCTCTCACTGGTCTTCTGCCACTGCCTCGACTTTTCAAGCCTCAACCTCCCTCCAGATTATTAAGAAGGAGGTGCAGAGAGCCCTCCAAACTCCAGTTTTTTCCAGACCTTGTCGTCCTGGGGGCATTATTAGTCATGTGCCTCCATTGCTGAGCTTGCATGTGGGTAGTTGTTCTCGTTTCTTCGCTTCTTTCTGCGCTTGGGCCGTGTCAACAGGCACCCCATTTGGACCGCCTTTTGCGCTGGTTTCCTTTGGCTTTTGAGCTGAACGGTCCAAAAAAGAAAGAGTCCGAACGAACTGATGGACATCAACTGCACCAGTTGATAGATATTTGTCACAGTACTTGGAGTTCTTCAATCCTGCTGCAGGTCGTTTTCCATCCACTGTAGTTTTGACACATCCCCCCCACAATTGTGCTTGCTGCTTGCTTGTGAACTTCTGCACCTTTGTGTTCATCCGCAGTTTTGGCTTCCGGAACCAAAGCAAATTGCAACAGCCAGAGGCAGCCACAGCCAGCAGCCAGCAACAGCACAGCCCAAAATCTATCACTGGACGTAGGTTTCCTCATTTTTGCAGGCGACCAACAAGGCAAATGGATGACACACACACAAACACAGAGTCTTCTGAGAGGGGAAGTTCCCTCTGGCCGCGCCGTGATTGCACGCGCGGTGTCGCCAGGCTGAGGCAGACATGGCCCAGATGCGTGGCTGCAATGGGCAAGTTGCCGTCTGTTTGTGTGTTGTGCATGTTTTCTTTTGGCTTCCTTTTCAGATTGGTTCAAAGGGAAACCAACAAGAAAGCTGAACTTCGTGTTTGGTGTCCAGATCCCTATTGTGAGACATGTCCTAGCTGTTCAGGGTTGCACCGCAATCGTAGAAAACTTGTATTTTGCCTTTTTCCCCAGACCAAATTTCTACCCTCCGGTTACGCTATTGTAGGTAACCGGGGGTCAAACCTACAACAAACCCTGTTTCCCGGCTACAGTGGCAACTGGAAGCACTGGGAGTGACAGGGTCTTGGGAGGAGCCCTTTTACCGGGTATGGTCAAGTCGTGACTGGTGAATCTCGTTGTTTGGGCCACTTGGCCCCGCGCAAGTGGGAGTCATGATTTTGGCTTTTAGTCGAGGAAACCTGCAGCTGGCTGGATGATTCCATCCCCCTTTCTTTGGTAGCCTTTGAACACATCCAAAGGGGAGGAGTTCAGGGGACACCCAAACGCAAACCTTTTGATAGGATTTTTGGGTGCTAACTTGCCCAGCTTGTATTCCCCCAAGAGCAAACCACGGGTTCACCGGTGATTCCGATTTGCTTCAGCTGCTCCTTCAGAACCTCAGCCAAGGACAGTGAGATCCGAGTACGAGGGCTGCCTATCCGTGCCTGGGAGGGAAAGTGGGTCGAAAGCGGAGTGAGTGTTTCCAGGGTCATGTTCTCGTGATTTAAACTTGCGGCATAAGGGAGAGTCGACAAGCTCACATCACCAATGCCACTGTCAATGGAGTCAAGACGTGTGTCTTTGCGCCCCTCAAGTTTCCTGGCTCCATACTTGAGAGGAGGGCAAACGAAAGCTAGCGCTGTTGCACGCATGTGTGCGACGTGCTCGCTGGACCTTCATTTTTGTCCCAAAAGCGGGTTCCAACTCAAAATGGCCCTCGCTTGCAAAGGGAAAGAAAAGCTGGGTTGCTTCTGCTTCTCAGTTGGTGGCTTGGATTGGTGGTGAAGAGGTTGGGGGGTAGCTTCGAGCTTATCTTTCACAAGAACCAGGGGTTCAATTCCTTAAAGCACCAAGGGGGGGGGGGAAGCTGCTTGTTTGTAAGAAGTGGTTCAAACATGCTTTAACCGGCGGCTACCCCAAACCAGGTCGTGACATTTTGCACCCGCCGTCAACTGCCCACGGCATGTGCAACAAACAGGTTGCTGTTGGAAACTGATTCAGTGCTGCCTCATTTGGCTCATTTTTTGTGCTCGTAGGGATGTGGATCCCACTTCGATATAGCAGCAAAAATCATTTTCTAAAGACCGCTTTCCATCATCCGCTCCCAAACGTCACGTGTGGGATATGTTTGTTGTTCTTGCTCGTGGAACCTCACAGTGCACGCCCGACACCAGCCCAAAGTGCATTCTGTTCTCCATGTGCTGGAGACTGGCATTGCAACCCTGTCAGAACCTTTTTGCCGCTGCTTCCGCCACGCCGTGCGCAACTGCAGCACACTGATTCCAATGAGAAACGCCCTAGTCCCCAACCCGAGAGAGCCCTTACCCTCTAAAATCTCGACTAGCTTCGCGGGATCTATCCAAATGCAAATTATGTCTTCAGGCATTCAGACGCATTGTCATGTGCAACTCCCAATGCTTGTTTGTTGTTACTTGCACCTTTGGAATTGGTCTTTAGGAAGCAGGTACTTAAGCCTGCTAGAGGCAGAGGTATAGTGAGACGGAGCGCAACAGCCATGTTGCCCGCCTGCCCTTGTGAGTGCGCTTCTCTCAAAGAATTCATAGCTTCCCCCAGCCCCCTTCCACGAACCCGTCTAAGGAGCCTAAAAAGGCGAGGGGGCCCCAGGTTCTTCCTGTGCCCCCCCTGCATTCTTCAGCTCCGCTGGCTCTGGAACTGACCCATCCAACGTCTGGTGTTTTGGTGAGGGGTGCAAGCCGGATTTTGGGGGGATGCGGATCACTTCCGGAAGCGTGCCGCCCCCATTTCCTCCAGAAGTTTTTAGCTAGGTCCTGCGTCATGCCCAGTTTGGCGCAGATTCTCCCAGGTGCGAGATGGGCAGCTTATGATCAACATGTCAGCCCGCAATCTGGACGACACGGGTGTTGTGAAGTGGTGCAGCTTGTCTGATCCCACCTCTGCAAACCACCTCTGCATGGGCTGCCAGTTGCAGGCAGATCCCCAGCCCAAGGTCCAATCCGCTGGAACCATGGTAAAGTTTGTGGGTCCTCCGCCCAGCGATTTTGTAGTTTGGGCTATGCCAAAAAATATCAAAAAATGAACCCAGTCTGACAGTTTTTTTTGTTTTTTTTGCGTACCCCAGATGTGGGCCAAGTTTGGGACCTTGGGATTGGTGGAATTCTTGTTTCACCCTTCGAACAGAGGCCTTTGAGCTGGACTCTTTGTGCCCCTGTTCTTCAGAGTGGATACACCAAAACCCATATTTTTCTGGGTACCCCACAAGAAAAAAAGTAAATAGAGTTCCTGCAGAGCGGCAGTTTCTTAGGAGTTGACATGTCCTGATTCGACCTGGTTTGCCGTTGCCTCGACATCAACAAAACGCAACCGATACGGGTCCCTCTCAAAAGCCTTTGGGCGACCGCAGTGCACTGAAAGCAACAAATGAAGATTAAATGAAGCAGCACGTGCAGGCAGTGCCTCATGACTTATATGGCTTCATTGTTCAGGAGCGACCTGTTAAGCTAGCAGAAGCATTTTCTGTCATGTCCATTTCAGGGGAGTCCTGATTGCTCTTCGAGGGGGGCTCCAGAGAATTTCTACGACTCAGGCAGTTGGGTCGACGATTGCCTGGAAGACTTTGTGAAGCTCAAGCGGCTGCAGCGAAATGCGGATGGCTTCCTCGTTTGCGCCATGGTTAGCTGCGATTGTCACAGGGCTGGTCTTGAGTATGGCCTCATCCCCAAGATGATGTTCAATGAAACCTTCAAAAGGTTAGATGCTTTGCTCAGGGCAAAAGGGTTAGCGCGGTGCGATTTAGTTGCTTCGCTGCATTTCGCGGAAGGCATGGAAGGGGTTTTTATTATGTTTTCTCTGTTTGGTCCCCTGGCGGTGGTTGCAAATTTGTTTTTGAAGAATCAACCTTGGGGCCAATTCAATGTGAGTTGTTGACCCCGGATTAATAAACTCTTTTTTTCTTAATATGAAGATGCCCCTGGTTTTAGAGGGGATTCAACACATTTGGAGGAAGCCACTAGCCGACTTCGTGTTTGGTGGCCATTTGTGTTTCTAGGGGTCTTGGTTCGTGCCCCGGTGCTTCTTTTTTTTGGGAGCGGCCCTGCCAAGAGGTTTGTGGACACGAGGGCTCCCTTGCGCTAACGTGCTTAAGCCAATCTTGTTTAATCACTATCCTTTTGGTTTAAATTTTAAGGGGTTCAGGGTATGTTTATTCAACAAGTTGTGCCCAACCCGAATAGACACCCCCCCGGTGCTTCAGAAGGCAAGTCCTTTGGACGGAAATCGGTCCAGAAGATTCCGCTTTCAGTTCAATGGATGCGGCGATTGATCCGCTTGGAACTTGCACAATCACAAGCAGCTGTTTTTGCAACAATTGCATAAGTGGACAGGGGCATGTGCTTCCCTAAAAGGAAGGTAGCCCTGTTAAAAACCTTCGATCGTCAGCTTCTATTTGGGAGGGCATTGCTTAAATGGGTAACCTAGCTTTCTGGTGTCCCCTCGTTTGTCCATGTCGCCTCAGTGGCTTGCTCCTAGCCGTTGTGCTTGCCGCTGGCGCTGATGGGTTTTTAGGGCCACTTTCTATGGGACCAGCGGGTTTTTTCAACAAATGTGAAGCAGTCCCAAAGGAAAATGGAATAAAACGACACACGGAAACTGGCAGTGAACTTGCAGTTACGGAGAAACATGTTGGCTGCGAGGCTGCGAGTTGCCAGGTTACATATTAGGGGGCCCCAGTTGGATCCTCCCCTACCCTCCAGAGCCATACAAGAGTTTTCGCCTGGACTTGTTGGCAAGATTTTGCTCGGAACGGGAACCTGCAAGCCGGTGGGTTTTTGGAGTGGCATCTGCCAGTGCGTTCACGCATCATGCTGGTTTGCTGTGGGTTCCCGATGTTGCCGCCTAGCAATAGGTTTCTAGTTGAGACGCAAGGACCCCTACCCACCAGGGTTGCGAAACCCTGAGGAACACCCTCGCAATCAAAAGCTTATAAGATCCTTTTCTGCAGGCAGATCGTGTCCTCTGGACTTATCCTACTGTCACAGGCTCAGCCTTCGTTTACCCAGTTAGCGCAGAAATTTGCCCTTTGCTGCTCCCAGACGCGGGCTGAGAATGGCTTGGCTCACCAGAAGTGGGTCGACGCGTTTATGAGTTCAGTGGGATTCTGAGGTGAGGTGCAACATAGTGTTGCCAGTTTAGTTCATTTGCAGCTTTCTTTGCCTTCGAATCTGCCCTTCCCCACAACGAGGAGCCAAAGGAGGCAGTTTGTTCATCACTTTTGGCATCTTTTAGCAGTAAAGCATGAATCCACCAGACCCAAATAAAAGCACGATTTGGCAATGTTGAAGGCGAACAGTATGATACCTCCGTTAAAGTTATAGGAAACACGTTGGGGGGGCTAATTCCCATGTTCCCTACGGAGCACAAACTGGGAGTGTTGCATGAAAACAAAGAAACCAAATTCGGACGTCTAGCCTCCAAGTTGTGTTGTTGCCGAGGCTGTGATCCAGCACCAAGGTTCTAATCGCAACGAATCAGACATGTTAGAGGCTACTAGGTGCCTGTTTTTGTTGGATCCCTTTTGCTGTTGTTTGTTTGTTCGTTTCTTTTTGTGGGGGGGGGCGCTGGAGCCTGCGACCTCACCACAGGTAAGGAGGCCAACTTCGCCACCAACATGCTGGGGGACCGGGGCGGCTTTGCTCTGCTGCGGGTGCTTTTCAATCACCAAATCGCGCCTCGACTTGTTGGTCGCTTTTTTGTTTGAGACCCACTCCGATGTTTGCATTTTCTCCCCCCAACAGCTGCAAGCTTGGGGGTCTTTGCCCGCATAGTCGCTGCAGTGGTCCAGAATGGCTCTGGGGTAGGATTCCGTGGGTTCTGAGGGGGGTTCTGGGCATACCACCTGATTTTTAAAACTTGGGTGGGGGAAGGTTACAAGGGCACAGTCCCCTTGCCAAAGAATGGTGAAGATATCCGCCCTTTGGTTCTGTCATGATTTAGTGAAGTTAGGCCCCTTGGCTTCTGAGATACAACGTTCCGATTTTCCTGTGTGGTAAGGCATGGCTCCTTTGTGATGCTCATGTCCTCAAAGAAAGTTGGCCTTCTTGGCCGGAGGCGACCCCGATTTTATTTTGAGAGGCGGCCCCAAAAAGACCTGTGATTTGGAGGATTCCCCAGTTTGACATATGCCCAAGGTTCCTTTTTTTTGGCCTATCTTGATTGTGCTTCCTTTTGATGCGAAGGAAGTGGGGAAGGGCTGCAGCTCATTCCTTGTTGCTCAAAGTTGAGCCGGCCGTTTTGATCCTTTACCTCACTTTAGTTTATTTCACTGCATGCCCTTCAATATGATTCAGTCATGTTCCCCCACGGCCCAAAAATCACTTCACATGCCTTTTTCAGAGGCGCCACGCCCACAAGTGGGTGTTCAGCGAGTGAAGCAGATGAAATGACGTGGGGGCTGCTCGACCAAATTTTCAGGAGTAAATGGAGGTCACGAACCGCAGGCATGCCTACCTCGTCTTGGAAGATCAACTATTGTACTCTCATAGCCGTTCGAGGACTTCACTTGACTTTTCGTGTTTTTTTCTCCTTGGGTTCACTTTCTGTGTTCAAGTCCCTTGCTTGCAAGTGAGTTTGTTTGAAATTGGGGCCTTGGGCGTGGCCAGTTCCAAGGGTCACCGGAATTCAGCTTGCAGCCTGCTGAGATCGGCATGGAAATCCCAAATCCCATCCCCATCTCGTCAAAAGCGGATGAGGAGGTGTGATTTCGACCCTGGCTCTGCGATTGCAATTCCATGATCCCTTGTGCGGCAGGACTTGGAATCCGTGTGTAATTTGTTTTTGAGGGTGTTTTTGTTTCTTGAATTGGGGTTAGAGGGGAAGCAAAAAGAAACCAACGCAACAATTCGCTTCGGGGGTGGTGGGGCCCAGAAAGGTGTTGCACACACCGGATGGAGTTGCAACCTTGCGTCATCCCAAGCAAATCCGCAACGCTCACCTCCCCCCCCTTCCCCGCTCCCCACAAGGTTGTTGCTCCAGTTGCGCTTCTGCTTGCCATCTTTCGCTTCCAAACGAAAACGGCCTTTTCACCTTTTACTTTCCCTAACATGTTTTATCCAAGGGGTCACCAAGGTGATTCATCCTTGACTAAAGATGGCTGCCGACTTAGGGACTCCCAACCGTTGATTTCATGTTCCTATTGGCAGCCATCTTTAGATATCTTTCGCCAAGCATTACCTGAACCAGAATCCAGGTCCTCTGGTTGCAAGTCGGTCTGGCTTTCTCCTCAACACAATGACCAAGCCAGTATTGAAAATGTGTGTTGCCTGAGCCCATTGCTTCCTCCGCCCGCTTCCACGGTACGACTGTTTCCTATTCGGGTCGCAGAGCTATGAGGCGGTGCGCATCATCAAGCTCTTTAAGAACCACCTGGGTCGTGCGTTCGCCAGTTCCTTGATGGACTGGCTCACCCACACGCCCGTGCCCGCCGTGGAGCTCCTTGAAAAGCTTGAAGCCAGCGGCCAAAGGGTTTGGCACCGAAGTACGGTTTCCTTTTAGAATGCATGGCTGCGGTGCCTGGGTACCGGCCTCTGAACGCGATGTTTCTTGCTTTGGGAAACGCACATCTCGGAGAAATCTGGAGGACTACAATACTCAGGGCGGGGCATGAGGTCATTTCGTCGGATTCGTTTCCCGTACGGGGCAGGGCCCCCCCCACGCTGCAGAAGCTTTGATTCCTTGTTTGGTGTAGGGTAGTTCCCTTGACCTTCACACATCAAGGAGGGGGGATTGGTGTGATGTAACTTGCCCTGGTGTAGTATGGCCAGGTCTTTGATTGTGACTGACTTCATGTTGCGCTGTGGGAGGCAGTAGCTGGTCCACGCGTTCGGGTGAGCTGGCAAGATCTCATCGCTTTTGCCTGCCTGCATTTTAATACTGGCAGCCAGCGTCGCGCTTGCATAGATACGGCCGCTCTGGCTACAGCTGGTGCCACTCAGATCTTAGAGCCCTCTATTCCAAATGAAGCTGGTAGAAGGTCTTTGGCAATTTGCAGCTTAAGGCCGGCGAAAAGCCAAGGCTCCACCTGTCCCACAACTACATCCCTCGCGAAGGCGCCGTGGCGCCTTGGCTGCGGTGCAACCCCGGAGGCCCCATTCGACCCTTTGGAAACAAGTCGTTTCGCCCACAAATGGCTAGACCCTGTGCTCAGGAAGAGAAACTCAGGTATGGAACGCAAGGCCCCGTAGGGGTGCGTGCTTAAAGTCAGCAGCACTGGATGCCCATTTAACAGGTCACGTTGCAAGTGGAAGCATGCTGGTGCATCCTAAAATGCGCAGCCTTTCCTGTAGAAAGTTATGCTCCTCTTTATGTTCTTAATATGTGCAGAGAATGTTGCATGCTAGTCCTCACTAGGTTGTGAGGGACTTATTGGGGCAGGCTTTCAGGGGCGTGTGGGGGCATTTCGCTTTTCGCAGTTTCGCATATGCAGTGGTTTAGGCAACCAGTTTTTTTGGAGATGGGTGTTGGTGGTTGAGGCTTGTGCAGGTGTCTGCCGAACAGAGCACCTTTGTTGCGTGAGTGTCCTTTGTTTGCTCAGTGGCGCTGCCTGAAAAGCCCATCCACAAAGACACTCTGATGGCAGCGCCAATCTTATTCCAAACCAAACATGTGGTCAAACACCTGACAAGAAGCTACTTAGAATATAGCAGTGGACTGTTTTGTTTCTTTTTTTTTGGGGGGGGGGCATGAACATCTTTTTTGGGGGTTCCCCACTAAAACTGGTCCACCCCCAATCCTCCCTTTGTCTTCTACAGGCACTGGGCAACTGGGGAACAGTTATCAACCGATCGTATCACGCTTTACTATGTGGCAGGTGTCGGACCGATCGGCCATGTTTGATCCGCGGGAGGCAATATGTTTTTCAGCTTGTACATGCGCAGCCTGGACTTGGATGGGCAACCGAATCATCCTTTGTACCCGAGTGAAATCAAGATGTTGCTTCACACCGTGGCCAGAGACTTCTGGGAGCATTGACCGCGCCCGTCCAGCCGCATTACAACCAGTAGGGCTAGATTAGATGGACAGCGAGCGCCTTGGAAAATTGAAGGTGCGCCTCTCCATTGCCGGACTTAGCTTACCTTTGTTTCGGCTTTTTGGTTTTCCTTCATGTTCCCTTCATTATCCCTTAGAACCACCAACTCAATATTTCCCTACAATTGAACATGATATGAGCGTATAGCAACATGAAACCCAAAAGGTGTTCCTTAGGTTCCATGTTAGCATAAGCGTAACTTTCTGCAGGTCTGAGTCTCCCGTTTCGTGTCGTGCGAACGAGGACATTCTGAAGGCCGTGGCCCACAACCCAGCCGCAGCCCAGGATCAGTTTCACCGAGGTCCAACTCTTCAGTTGTGCGAGCGTGTTGTCCGCGCATATTCTTTTACGGAGGAGGGTACTAGGGAAGATCACGTACTATGTGGGATGGGGGGGGTGTGGTCACTGTTGTTGGCATGTTTCATTGGGGGGGGCTTCTGCTCATGTTTAGCAAGGGGCTTCAAAATGTTTGAAGCTTTCAAAACAAAGTTCTTGTGCTACCATACACGGGTTGGACAGTTTCTCCTTCAACGCCATTTGACAAATAGCAAGGGTGAGTTGTCCGAGCCACTGAAGGGCCGAAACCCCCGCAATCTTTTGAAAAATATGCGAAGGTAATGCTGTGCCCTCGTTACAGTGTCCACCCCCCTTAAACGTGCAATCACTCGAGCGGGTCATGTCTGGTATTGAGGGCCACTCCTGGGCAGGGCATTGCAGAGAGTATCACAAGACTTCAAGAGTGCCTGCCTCGATGTTTTCAACATGTTCAACCAAGGGGTTGGCCTAACCCCTGGTTCTCTTTGGAAACTATGAGCCCTGCGGGAGCTGTTTTCACAGACGGAGCTGTCCGCAATGCCGCCTGGCATTCACATTGCTAATTTTTCTCCAGCTTCACACCACCCCGTTTCTGACAAGAGCCCACATCCCGCAAGTTCGCTATGCGGGCGCGAGCGCTTTGTGAGGTCTACCCTGCCGAGCACAAAGGTGGGAATCGGCAACCACTGTGGCTGCGACTGGAGCAGAACATAGTGGACGCTTGGCGCTTTGTTGAGCGTACAGCCAGCAGTTGCCCAGTGCTGCCCCCCCTTGCCCTTGGGTGAGTAAATGGGAAACCACCCCCGGAACACCTCCAAACCACCAGGCTCCAAACCACACTTTCACCCTTTTTGAGGAAAGTTGATTTCTCGGTTTGGGGCCTCCTTGAAACTCCAACTGCCAGACATGGCCAGCTTTTATTTGAAATCCCCAGCCTCGTGCTGCGTCCCTGCGGGGAGGGACTCAAAAGAAAATCGCACTCCCGCAAAAGGTTGGTTTCAAGTGGCTTGCTTTTAAAACCAAAAGGTGGTTTCCTCAAAAACAGCTGACACACACACACACGCATGTTTCAACCCACTGAGACGCTTTGGCGTTCCTTTGAGGGTAACCAAAACCCTGAGAGGCTTAAGCCCGTGCAATCAGCTAGCTCCCTTGCTCTCACGAATGGTTTGGGTGACTTGGGAATGAAGCGGAAGATCCAAAAGGAAAGCAGTTGGACGGTCTGGGGTGGGAATGACCCAAGGGGTTTGGGAAACACCGAGAGTTTTGGGAATCGAGGGTTCGTAGCAATCCGCTGGATCAGGAAGCGTAGCCATGTGTCGAACATTTGCGTTTTTTTTTTAAACCAAACCTTCAAGCTTCCCAACACTTCTTTTATTTTCCTTAGTGCGTCCGGGGCCAAAATCAGCGTATCTTACAAGAGGGTACCTGCAAAAAAAGGCAAAGGTGTTCCTTTTAGTTCCCCTGGACATCCCACATCAAGTTTACATTGACGCGTTTTTGTTGTTCCTTCAGCCTTTGAAAGGCCTCGGGTTCAATTTCTCTCGCCGCTGGCTTGGCTGGCAGAATCCGAGGAGAAGCCGGATGAACTTTTGAAAGTTGCGGAGGAGCAGCTGCTTGCCAACCAATTGGCATTTTGGAGGTGCAAGCAATTAAAATGGAGGCTTCCAATCCCCAGACAGCCGCGAGGAAGATATAGTTGACACACCTTCCTTCATTCGCTGCTTCAACAGACATGGGCCTGGTCAATCAAACAATGCATAAGCTCACATGTACCCACCGCTGATCCGGGCGATGCTAAGTCTGGCCAAGATACGGCAAAGATCGAAGCGAGGCGCGGCGGTGCACATAGACATGGCATTGACATTGAAACAGGTCTCAAGATGTCCCTCATTGGGCATGAAAGACATTCTCACATGCCCACATTGAAAGAAGGCCTGGCTTTGGACAGATGGCGCTTAAGCTTTGCCTCGGGTCAGCCCTCAGCCTGCGTTGATTTTCGAATGGGACAGCTCGGCCAGGCGAAATGTTGAGCTTGTGCAGTGTGCCAAGATCCATCCCGCCAGATGCGCCCGGCGCTTGGACTTGGAGATTCTCCTACTGGTAAAGTAAGAGCGGGCGACAAGATAAAAGGATATCCCAGGGATTCAATTGTGCCCTAGAGCAAGGGAACCATCCAACTATAACTCACGTACCCAAAGACGACCGTTTGACCTTTTGACCTTTTGGTTTCCCCTGTTTAGACAATTTTTAGTCATGTCGCCAAAAGGCGAACCTTTTATTTCCGGGTCCTTTGGGACAACATCCTACTACAGCAGTATCAGGATCGACTGGGCATAGCAGACAATCAAGCTGGCTTGCAGCAGCTTCAGTGGCCGCTTGGCAATACCATTTCCTGGTCCGATGGCCCTACCCTCAAAGTAATGTAAAGGAGGCCGTACCCCCAGATACATTTTCCCTTTGCCCGCGCAAGGGAAATCATGCATGGAGGGGCCCACGTTTTGTCTTAGTCGAGGGTGGGGATATCCTCGCAATTCCCCGCAGGCACCCTCCTTTTGCAGGAGTTAGAAATCCAAGTAGCAATTGCCATGCCTTCAACTAAGGTTGCACCGGACACGGGGTCCCTTCAAGAGGAGATTGAACTTCCAGGTACCTCCCCACAGGTGCCATGTTAGTGGCAGATAGGGTAGGAATGGGCTTGCCAATTGAGGGCCATCTTGTTTTTGCCCTACCGGAACCAATCAAAACGTACTGCAACCTGCCACACGCAACGGTGCATAAGTACGTACGGATGAGCACCGCCCAGCTCCCGCATATTTTGCAGGGGTTCCAGGATCTCCCTTTGAAGCCAACAAGTCTTTGGACCAGGGCTGAGTTTCTTGTTGGTTCATTTTTGAAGCGGGGACACTACACACCACACATACAGACAGACAGACAGACAGACAGACAGACATACAGACAGACATACAGACATAAATACATACAGACATACAGACATACAGACATACAGACATACATACATACATACATACATACAGACATACATTCATACATACATACATCCCTGTCCGTGCTCGTCATCCTCGCGCACGCACGCAAAGGCCATCGAATGCCCTTTGGCTGAGGCCCTGCCCCTTGGCGCAGGTGGCCTATTTGACCAACCAGCGGGATCTCCGGGTCCGTGTGCCCACGGAGGCGCAGCAGTGGAAGACCGGACAGCGGGAGGCAATCAGGCGCGCTGGCTGGGATCGCGGGGAATGCAGAGGTTGGATTGCTGGGGCTGGGTAGATTTGGGTGGGTGCCGTTCTGAGTGTCTTGGTTGTGTTAGCTCTCGCCCTTATGTGATGTTTGGGCTGCTAGCTTCACCAATAAAGGTTCCTTATTTGGCGGGTCCACTTCTTGTTTCAGGCTCGTGAATGATTGTTCCTGGGCGGCTACTTCCAGCAGACAGACAGTGGCCAGGCATAAATTTGTGTTGGACCTTTGAAATGGCCGACTGCGAAAACACGGGTGGAGAGGCCGCTTTGCACCAGGAGGAAATACGAGCTTCGAATTCAATCCGAATCATTCGACTAATGAGAGAGGGAGAGAGAGAGAGAGAGAGAGATAGAGAGAGATCGAGTGGGACTTGAACCAGTTTAGGCGGTAGCTCGGAGAAAGGTCAATCCGAAAGATGAGGGCCACAGGTGTCATGCAAGCTTGTTTGGACCTTTTGAAGGGGTCGATTTAGAGAAGAGGGCTTGTTCGCCAGGGTGAAAACAACTCTTCACCAGGTTCCCCAAACTGGGGCCTTCGGTAAGACATCTTGTTTATCGGGTTGGCTATGAAAATAGGCCAGACTTCTGAACATATTGTGCTTGATGTGCCCCAAGAGGTGGGCTCGCCTTGGCCCTTGGGTAAACATCGCCATAGGTAGCCACAAGGTATCCATACCTGGGCTTTTCGGGGGAACTACGAGCGTAGCTCGCTCGAGGTGGCGGGTCTCCATCAGTACGGAGGAGGCGGAGAAGCAGGCCAAGGCAGGCGTGTTTTTTTTTGGTTTCGGGCCGATTTGCGCCTTACCCCTTGGCGGCTTGGATTCGTTTCTTCCATTTGTTTGAGACGAAATTTGCAATTTTCTTTTCTCGGCTTAAAGGGAAACTATCACTACAGGAAATATGATTATGAGTTCTAAGGCTCTTAAGCAGACGGAGGGTTTGGACGTTAGGAACCTTCCCCCAGTGGCTTCAGGAAGTGGGGCGAACCCCAAGCGCCAATCCAAACTTCCCAATCCAAACCACCTGGAACCACCAAATATCGGTCAGGGCCTAGAGGCAACCTTGCAATCATTGCATTAGGATTAGGGTTTTGGATTTTTGGGGGCCCAAGGTTGCTGGCTCCTGCGATGCCTTGGAGAGTTGTTGGAGGGCATGGCATTGGCCGATTTTTCCACCTTGCCAGGGTCTCTGGATCACCCCTGAGCTTAGCTTCGAAGTAGTTCACAGCATCTTGCAAATCATGACTCGGCTTGGTTTTAAGCAGGACCCCTCAAAGCATGTTTCTGGGCCAGCCAGAAAGTTGCCTTACCAGCTGGAGGTTCCCTTGTAAAGCAAGTGGCCGTTGGACGTGTCCTTAGCCTACAAGCCCTTTTAGGCCCTTGGTGCTAGTGATTGACTTCCTGGTTCCCTGAGCCATGCAAAACGCCGCCAAACAAATGAGACGGTGTGACCGACCCGGAATTCTTGCTTCTCAGGAAATCTGGGTGGGAATAAACCCGGAAGATCCCCAAGGAATCCACCAGGGATGGTTTCCGGGTCACTCCCTCTCAAAAGGTAACTTGTGCTTCGCCATTGCTTTGTGTTGACCCTACTTCCTATGATTGTCAGGGGGCCCCAAAAAAAGCACCCAAGAGGAACCCTACTAGCCCTGGGAGTGGGGATTCCCTCCCCTACAAACCATAGGAACGTGGGTCACCCACGAGCGCTAGGCCCCGGTGTCAAAGAGTCGACCGGTTCTGACCCGCGAGAACACGGTAGAAAGCTCCGAGGCGCGACACGCAAAAGAGGGGGCGATCTTTGCCTTATTGTGTTTGGAGTTGGCCTTCGGTTGCGTGCTTGCTTACCAATTGCCTGCTCCCCTGCCTGGCTGCCTGGCTGTCTGCCTGCCTGCCTGCCTGCTTGCTTGCTTGCTTGCTGCTTGCTTGCTTGCTTGCTTGCTTGCTTGCTTGCTTGCTTGCTTGCTTGCTTGCTTGCTTGCTTGCTTGCTTGCTTGCTTGCTTGCTTGCTTGCTTGCTTGCTTGCTTGCTTGATTACTTGTTTGCTGGCTTTGTTTGTTAATTTGGTTTGTTTCGTGCTTGTGTTTATATCAATGTCTGGTGGTTTGGCTGGCTAGTCGGTTGTGTGTTCTTGTTACTTTGTTTGGTTGTATGTGTTTGTTTGTTTGTATGTTTGTCTATTTCAATGTATGTTTATTTGTCTTGATTTGTTTTGTGTTGTTGTTTACTTGCTTGCTTGATTGCTTGCTTCTTTGTTTGTTTGTTTGTTTGTTTGTTTGTTTGTTTGTTGCGATGTGCATCTTTTGATGAAGGCCCGCTTATTTTTGTTGGTGGCGATTTCCTTTGCAACATCACCTAGTACAAATGCACGGAGGATCAACCGACGCAACGCCAACAGAGCAACCAACAAGCAGAGGCAGGCACTAAGCGCCGCCAACACACCACCAACAACAAAGCAACTACCATGAAGCCCCGACAGCAAAACAAACACCAACATCTTTCCGGGCATGCCTTCCGAAACTCAGGGTCTTCTGTTCGATGGAGTTTAAGAGGCAAACCATGAGAGCATCAACCAGTTTTCGCGTTCCCGATTTGCGCATGCCGGTAATTAGACAAACCCGCAAAAGTTTCTGCTACCTTACAGAGCTCGGCTCACGTGGGAGGCGCCTGATGAGCCACAGCAGGCCACGCCCGGGTCGACTATCCCCTGAAATGCCGCTGAGATGGCCCATGTAGTTAAATTAAACTTCTGGATGGTAGTTCACTATTTGCTTGTTCGTTTAGCTTCATTCATAATAATAACATGGACGTATCTCTATATGTGTCTTTATGGGTACTTGTGCATTTATATGAACATGTATACATGTACACATTTGCGTGCGCGAGAGTTAACACCGCATTTACGCGTACATGCGCCATTGTTCATTTGCAAGCAAAAGCGCAGATGCCACGGGTACCTATTCCTATACCTGCTCTGGGAGGCCCAGCAGTTGAAAGGGCCCCTTCGCCAAGTATGCTTTGGCTTTTGAAAAGGGAGGTGGTCCGCCAGGGTCAAAGCAAGTGGGAGGGGCGCGGCTGCAAAGCGCCGTTTTCCAAGGCCTCAAACAGCCTTACCGCGAACCATGCCCTCAACCAGCTGACCGTTGATCAATGTGTTCTGCATTATTTTAACTATTGTTTGGGCGTAAACGAAGCTCAAGTCCATGATGCCGCTGACGTCTTGTGTCCCCTTGTTGCGTGCAACTGCCAAAGCGGATTCTAGCAGCGGTGTCCTTAGGAGAAAATGCGCTCGTGGCATCATGGGGAACCATGCTTCTTGAGGTTGACCGAGATATGATGCCGTTGGTTTGTGCTTTCTGCTTTGATTATCTCAGCACTATGCCGGCTTTTCATGGATGCCAGGTGTCTGGATGTGGGTACTGATTCGGATTGGAAACCCTTTGTTGGGCATCACTGACACGGAGATTGGTGTTCACCGATCATATGTGTGAGCATTTTCCATTGCAAATAGTTCATAGCCAAGCTGAGTGCAAAATTGTCCTTATCTTATCCAAAGAGAAACGAGAAGGGGACTCTTATTCAAACGCCCAGCATGTTGCCAAGCTCAACTAATACGTGCGCTGCTCATTCCAGGACTCTCTAGTGTTATCCCCTTAAGCAACACTTTTTGCAGAGGATTTTTACAGTTGGTCCAAAGCCCAAGAGTAAACTAAAGTGATATCCTCAACAGTACCCGGGTTGCAAGGAGAATCGGATTCACCACACCCCATTTTTCAAAAGGGACATGTAGGCACCCACATGCCAGGCGCCGCCGGTCAGAGAAAGTACCCCAGTTTGGAACGGCCTGCCAGCCTCCGAGCAGCTACAGGCCCTCGGGGAAGCCGGTGGAATGCGGCGGAGTTGCCCCCATTCCTCGAGCAACAAGTCCCGGACCTCCAGTGGGTTGCTTCTTGTTTCCTTCTTTTGGAGGGGGGTTCCCTTAGTCGACCAAACAAAGGGCGCCATTTTCTGCCATGGCGTTGGGGCTCAGCGAAAGGTGCGAAAAAGGGTCCAAGAACTAGAAATTATGAGGAAGCACAAGGTTCAGGTTGCCAACACTTCTCAAAGCTCTGCTCAAAACGCCCAGATTGCAGAGGGTGATCCCAACCTAACCTTATACGCGGCGGCCTTTCCCTTCATTTTAGCGGTTGATATAAAGTTTGCACTTTTTTTGGGCCATCCACTCCGCCAGTGAGTTTAGTTTGCCTTCAGGGTGATGAAGGCCCAATGTAAGATTGGACAAGCTGCTTCTTTTAGAAAGTGCCAGTACGTGCTTGAGCCCGTAAGTCAATTGTAAAATTAGTTGCGCAATCGACCATGAGCACCAGCCCCCGACATGTGGAAAATGTAGTTTTATAGAATCACGCGGGTTGAGCTGGATTTCATTCTTGTGTGGTTTAAGCATCTTGTGCAAAGGCCGTGTAAAAATGAACTTCCTTGTGCCTCCTGCCAACTTCTAGTTTGTTTAGATGATGCCAGCCTGACTAAGCAAGGGGGGGGCCATGGAATACCTAGTATCCATAAAATAATGGGTTCTTGGAAACGGGGGTGGGTGATGTGTGACATGAACACTGACTTTGAGTCAACTGCACAACTTGCAGAACAAATCAAACAAAATGCTTGGAACCCACATTTGCCACTAACACAAAGGTGCGGCTGTCAGATTTGCTGCAAGTTAGAAACCGGACGCAATAGACAATGGCAAATTGTGGCGGGCCTGTGTAAGCCAGGGGATTTCGACTTGGCTACGAAGCTGATTGCCATTTGTGGCAGGCCAAGCGTTTGCCATGCGAGGGTGACTTAGCTAAAGCTTCAGCCTTGAAACAAAGGGTTGTTCACCTTGCATCTCCACGAAGCCAAGTGCATGCGAAGCACGGCCCACCCAAGATCTTTAGAGTAAATGCAGTAGTTTCACAACCACATTTTGTGCTCCAGGAGAGGCCGGATTACGGCCATCACCTTCAAAGACATATCTGAGCGTTTCGCTTTTCGGGATGATCCCGCAGGCGGCCAAGAAAGCGTTCCAGCCTCGGGCGACTTCGTTTGGGTCGACGGGCGTGTGTGGCCCATAAGGCCCCCATGTACCCGAGCGGAGTTGGGCGGTGGTTTGGGATTTTGTTTGTCCTACAGATTCCTGCGCATGCTTGCAAAACCCACAGTTGCCTCCTGCGAGGGTCATTCAAAGAGCCGGGGGGGTGACATGGACTTGAGCGATTCACGCGCCTGGCAGTGCAACATTTATCGAGCAGGAACCTTTTGAGCCTTTGGAACGTGGTCCATCAACCGGGGAATTGGCGCCATGCGTCTTTGAACACAGGTTGTTTGGGCAGGTAAGCCCACCTGTACCTGTTCGGTGTGTAAAAGGTGAACGCTCAAAAGCAGTGTCGAGCAACACCTGGCTGATTACCTGTTGGGCACGTGAAGGGGCCCAAAGCTGGCTTTGATACGTTGCAGATTGTGAGCGAGCTCTGGCTGGATTGTGAGACTCTTGCTTATTTTAGAACTGTCAGGGATGTGCCCGGGTTTTGCCAACTCACCCGTTTGGCCATGATTGGATCATCGCTCGTATGAGCTGCTTTGCATTTTTCAATGTGAGTGCGCTGATGTTTGGAACATGCTGAATTTGTCCTTCCAGGTGACCTGCTTTGGCCACCCATTTTCTTTTTCTAAAGGTTGATGCCCCATTCTTTTCACCATGGTTCTTTCAGAAGCTACCCACGTGGTTTTCGGACATTTTCTGCAAAGACGGATCTCTGGGTTCAGAATGGGGCAAGTATTCGAGTTTCTTAAAGACCGCTAAGAGCGCGTCGTTTTCCTTTTGCTGGTTCTCAGGGTATCACCCTTCTGGGTTTCCTTTAAGGGGTCCCTCATAAATACCACATCAGCCCGTTTGGGCAATTGAACCTTCTTAGTTTTCCAAGGGTCGTTCCAACTCCGCCCATCGAAGCAAAGCCCAGGCCGCCGCAGTCCGTGCCGCCTCGGATCCTGGCGCGGGGGGAGGACCTGGAGCGTGCCTCGGCGAAGATCAGTTTGGGCCCCTTCGAGTCAACCTTCTCGGGGGCAACATTTCTCTTGGGGCTGGTGTCTCTTTGAGTTTTTGTTTTGAAGATTGTGTTGTGGATGTCACTTTTGTGGACCCAGTAGGAGTCAACATCGGGACTTGAAACCCCACAAATGGATCCGCATGAGTGTTCCTTTCCGTTTCTGTTCGGGAAGGGGAGGGCATCCTCAAAGCAATCGCACACCCACTCATGCGCTGAGCTCAAAACACAGAAAAACAAAACTCCCAAACGGCCTTTTTGAATTTGGTTGCGTGTGCCTTGAAGTACTCAACCTTTTGGGTGGATGAGGGGTGCAATGCGGTGCCCGTGTGAGCACTCAATGTGGTGCTCCTGGAAAAATGCTGCAGGCCTGAGGATAGCGCAGGGAAAAATCCCAGACACAAGGCGCAAGACGCGAGACGAACGACACAAGAAACAAGACGCGAAACGCAAGATGCGAGACGCAAGACGAAAGACACAACAAGACCCAAGACACACCAAGCATCAAGCACAAAGCACAAAACACCAAATTTCAAGCACGAAGCACCAAGCTCCAAACATTAAACACCAAGCACCAACCGAACACCAACCGAACACCAACCACCAACAACCAACACAAGCACAAGCACAAGCACAAGCACAAGCACAAACACAAACACAAACACAAACACAAACAAACAAACAAACACACAAACAAACAAACAAACAAACACAAACAAACAAACAAACAAACAAACAAACAAACAAACAAACAAACAAACAAACAAAAAAACACACACACACACACACACACACGCACACACACACACACACCCACGCACGCACGCACGCACGCACGCACGCACGCACGCACGCACGCACGCACGCACGCACGCACGCACGCACGCACGCACGCACGCACGCACCTACACACACACACCACACACACCACACACACCACACACACCACACACACCACACACACCACACACACCACACACACCACACACACCACACACACCACACACACCACACACACCACACACACCACACACACCACACACACCACACACACCACACAAACCACACACACCACACCCACCACACACACCACACACACCACACACATAACCACACACACCACACACACCACACACACCACAACCACACACACACACACACACACACACACACACACACACACACACACACACACACACACACACACACACACACACACACACACACACACACACACACACACACACACACACACACACACACACACACACACACACACACAAACACAAACACCCACACACACACACACACACACACACACACACACACACACACACACACACACACACACACACACACACACACACACATACACACACACACACACACACACACCGCACACACACACACAACACACACACCACACACACCACACACACCACACACACCACACACACCACACACACCACACACACCACACACAACACACACACCACACAAACCACACACACCACACACACCACACACACCACACACACCACACACACCACACACACCACACACACCACACACACCACACACACCACACACGCCACACACGCCACACACACCACACACACCACACACACACACCACACACCACACACACCACACACACCACACACACCACACACACCACACACACCACACACACCA